TCTGGTGGTCTTAGCATCATCTTGAATTGAAATAGCGTTCCTTCTTTTAGTGATACAATCCAGACTTGGCCACATTAAATGCTAGACAAACATGAATTAGTTGAATATTATTTCATACATTTTGATGATTAATTTCACAGCAGAGGCCGTTAAATAAATGAAGTCTAATGGCTGCCCTCTGCTGTATTTATACAGGCTGACTGGACGTCATACAGCCAGAAAAGTGAATCGGTCACACAGCTGTGTGTAGTGCACTGCAGCAGACTCAAGTTCAGACGTTACATAGACTCCACCAGACCCACTCTTGCGATTTAACAGCTTTTATGGTGGTGTTGTCAGCTACAGTGACATTTAAACTTATTCTTTGAACGAAACACAAAGGGCCAGATGGATATAACTCTTCAGATTCAAGACTGTGCATGCAAAGAAATATGTATTATGTTTTATAATATATACACACGCTATTTTCATCAGATTTATAAACTTGCATATCAATACTTGTGTCAATGAGAATAACGGCAAGGAAAAAAAAGTACAATTCAAGGTAACAACTGTCATTATAAGCAACCATTATGCACGGTTGTAGCGCCCATATTACTAATTCATCACACATACACATATACTTGTAAACCATTGTCGTGGTGACATCTCAGTCATCATTACTAAACTTCACATGGATGATTAATGATTCATCTATAGAGCTGATATTGAAATTATCAAATGAAAATATCGTTAACAGGGAGATGATGGCTCCTATGTAAATAAAAAGCATGATAACATTTATCACTCGTAAATAATTTACTGAACACTGTGTAGACTGCAAAATAACAACACAATCCATGAAACTGGCAAACAACCTAAACAAACAGTGTTTTACTATAGGGTTACATCTCTCACCTTATATTTCACATCCCTTCATCATTGTGCACATTCTCACCATACATTCTCCTTTTATAAATAACAGTTTATGTGTGGGAAAATCTGAATGCATGTTTTTTTTGCGTACACATCGTTTATACATCTGGCACAAAGGGTGAGTAAAGCTCATGGGTTGTGTGTGAATGTCTGCATGTGTGAAGGTCAGAGAGTGCTAGAGCGAGAGATAGGAGATCATATTAGGAATGTTTTTCTGGTCAAGCTATGACTCTACTCACACCCAAGTGGGTGAGGGAGAATGCAACTGTTAGTGTGTGAGTACGCAAGTATTGGTGCGTCCCTACGCCTCTGCTGTGGTCTCCCCATCGTCTCTGGTTCGGTCGTTTTGACTGTGGTCTACTCATATAGACCCCGTGTTGTTTATTGCGGCCCAGAGCCGACGCTGGGCCTGATACCTTTGCAGATTCTCCTGCCAGAAAAACTTTTATGATGAAATGTGAGGCAGGAAAAAGGGAGGTGAGGACAAACAGAGAAGCTGTTTTCTTTAAGCCTCTGTTTTACTTTGCTAACCAGTGTCCAGAATCCACATTTGGCTGTCATTGCAAGCCTGAGAGAGGAAGTCAAGGAGAATGAGTGTGTGTTTATGCACATGTGTGCAAGGTTGCACATTTAATTGCTGGTACATGTATGTGTGCATGCAGAATACTGTTGAATACATATGCATGTGTGCATGCACACTTCAGAGTAGTTACTAGTTTGTGACTGTATTCGTTTAAAGAAATTCCAAAGACTTAATAGTTTTGCAACCGCAGACTCTTGAAAACATATCAAGGTCATTTTTTTAAATGATATGGTGCTGAGTGAAGTGCTGGAAAGCTTAAATGGGGTTTTCGGGGAAGATGGGGTGATACAGTATAGATGTGTTTTTAATTCATCTTATCTGAGCAACACTTGAATGCAATCTCCAATGTCCCCTTTGGATTTGAACTGGGCCAGACTGGACAGCAGTGGGCCCCTATACTTCTTTACCTCATTGTTCTTTCTCCTTCTTTCATAAACTAAACAAAAAAAATGCTGCGATAACAAAACAGAATCTAGCCCCAAGTGTCCAATTGCACAGGCACAATGAGTAACCCAGTTGTCCTGAAGACCGGAGAAGTTCTACTGCTGCGTTATCACTCACATGGAAATACAAAAAGCCACACAGAAATGCACAAACCTGGCTTCAGGACTTGAGGGATTTCTCCTACAGACATGTCACTTTGTCTCGCCACAGGACCCGTACCTTTTAAACGGCAATAGGAAAACTCCTGGAGAGTTTGGAGCATGGCTAGAGGGATGGAGTGTTGAAAGAGAGGTAGTAGTGGCTGTGTGAGCGAGGGAGGTGTTGTTGGAAGACGACATCGAGGAGAACGGGACTACAGGGAAAGGAAAATTGGAGAGGAAATTGAAGAAGAGAGAAATTAATCACCTTGACTTGTTAGCTGTCTTTCATCTCAGCATGTGTGCCAGCTGATAAAGTCATACAGTATTTCCTGTTACAGATCTGCTGATGGAATAGCAGTTTCAGCTAGTGGAGGAGCAGCATGTCAGTGGTGTTAATACACTCACGCCCAATAATATGTTAAGAATTCCCATGATCTCTATCCACCTTCTTTCACTCTCTACTCCCCTCCACCCTTTTATCCCTCCCTCCTCATCTGTCCATCTTTCTCTCCTTGTTTTTCGTCTACTGTGCCTGGCAGGGGTGAGTGCTTTAAGAGGGTATTAGCAGGGCGTCTGTACAGTAGTACTATCACAGCTTAGTGGGCCAGCGCAGGTGAGACAGCAGGGATTTCCTGTTAGCCCTCTCTGCTACATTCTTGCTAAATTGCTCCTTGCCAGGTGGGGTTGGAGAGGAGGGGGTCTCTCTTTCCCCCTTTTTCTGTCTCATACACACAATGGCAAACACGCACAGACACACACACACACACACTCATGTAGCGGCACACGGGATATCAGTGCAGGATGATGTTCATGCACATACTGTACGTACAAAGGATTAGTGGTGTCACTAGTGTGTGTGTGTTTATGTGTGCCAGTGTGGAGTGGGGAGGACAGAGCAGGGCTCAGTATTAGACTCTGGTTGTCTGCCAGAGGAGCAATATGAGAAATACTTCACCATCTTACACCTGGGGGTCCTGGCCTGCTTGTAATGCTACTGCTTGAGAAGAGCTCTCTGTGCATCTGCAGCCTGCATAATGCACTCTCATTTTACACACACACACAAACAGGCAGTTAGGAACTAACTATGGCTGCACCTCTCAATTATGTCCTCAGTATGTTTGTTATGTTAATCTCCATTTCTGTTGTCATCAGTGCCACATTGTTTTTTCTTACCGCGGTTTGTTACTCTTTAGTTACTGAAATACTCCCAATAAGTGGTGTAGCAATATCACAATGTACACATACTCCATTCAAGTCATGCATTATTATTTTCTTAAAGTATACATGCATACTTATCTATTAAATTGCTAGCATAAATGTTGAATCTTAATATTAATAGTATGAATTAGTCCACTTTAGAGATGCCGGAAGGTGTAATTCTGAATTATGGAGAGAACCATGCAGCTGTTCCACCTGCCTCCAGTCTCGATGCTAAATTAAGCTAGTTGCCTCCCTGTATATATGTTAACATATAACTCTTGGAGAGAAAGGGAATACGCCTTTTCCCTAAAATGTTTTCTAAAACTGTAGGAAGCATTACAATGTCAGAGCTATATACTGTTATAGGCTATACTATATACTGCTAGTTATTCTTTATTTACATTATAACAGTGTATCATATTTTATGTGCTCGGTAAAGGTTGTTAAACTGTCAATATGATATATAAGTAACTATAATTAAGTAGAGGAAAATGTTATTTTTCTCTGAACTCTAGTGGAGTATAATATGAAGCATGAAATGGACCTAGTCAAGTAAAGTACAAGCATCACAGAATTGTACTTTAAGGCAAAGTACTTTAAGGCTAGTAAATGTACAGAGTTGCTTTCCACCACC